AAGTCTGCGTCCAAATGGTTGGAAGATAAGGAGGAAGGACAATCAATACTGTATATAGTCAATGTGAGGTAAAGTGTGTCGCCAATGTAACCGGTTAGAACTCGAAGTGGCGATGAGGTCTTCAAATGTATGGAAAGGGTCTTAAAAAAGGTCTTAAAGGTATTACATTTGACTTCAGGATTCCTGCTTATACCCTGCTATAGGAGATGACATTCCCATCTCAGACAACAACAAAACAGAAGAAATAAAGATACAGTCAGGAGGATCACTTCAACATTTCACAAACAAAAATAGGTTGACAACCCAAAACCACCAAAAACACAACATGGCGAGCATATATATAGTTTTTTTGATCCCACTCTTCGTTAGAGCTCATTATTTCCCATGTCACGGCGTGTTGAGCCACCCTTTGATTTTTTGTGGCAATAATTGTTTCCAAAATGAATTGTATTTTTAATCTGCTCTTCAAACACCTTAAATTAAGATTACTCCTTGATTGACTTTTAAAAATATGTATTTTAGCCAGAAGAATAGTTGTATTTATTAACTGTGTGCGGTCTTCATCTAAAAGCCCAAATACAATATTAAAGGGTGTAAATGTAAATTCAATATTTGCCGCCAAAACATTATGATTTGTGTTGAAACATTTTCATTATTACGATTTTTTTTTCTTTTGCTTTCTCTTTCTTGATCCTCCTTAGCAACAGTCATTACAGTCCTTAGCAACGGTCTGTTCTACTGGATTAACAACGTGTCACATGTTCTGAATTGACCAATCAGAACTTTATTTAGCGTCCGTATTGTTTATGGTTGAATGTGGGCCGCGAAAACGTTTCTGATTCTTAAGTGGGCCCTGAGTTGAAAAAGGTTGGCAACCTCTATTCTATTCTATTATAAGAACAACCTGGAACAAATATTGAAACCAAACACAAAGCCTGCTCCTATTGTCAGATTCTTCAAAAAGTAGTAACATTTAGAAACTGGCAAGAAAAAGAACAGACTTGATAAAAAACAAATGCCTCTACGTTGTAGTTAGATGCAGTATTTGAGTAACTGCACTTTGTTACATTCAATTTCTGATTGAAATGTAGTTTTCCAGTGAGATCAGTGTCATGAAGCCCAACCCTAGTTTGCAATGACGATGTTTTGATCTTTTAAATGTAAAGTTATACAGGCCATTTCTTAAGTTTACTTCTCGATCTTTCAGAATGTCTCCATCGGCATTGTGGGTAAGGACATGGAGTTCATCATTTACGACGATGCTGATGTGGCCCCGTTCCTGGAGGGTCTGGAGGAGAGGCCACAGAGAAAGGTAACACCGTTATCAGGTCCAGTCTGGACTCATGCTGCTTTAGAGAAACACATTTTGTTTTATTGTTATTGGAAATCTGACAAATCGAAACTAGATCTTTGTATATTTTTGAAAACGGTTTGTTTTATTGTATTTAAGACATTTTGGCGCGGAGTAAGATGTGTTTCCAGCTCTTTGGTCATCCACCTTGATTTAACTACTGTTAAAATAAACACACTTTTTGGGGATGAGGCTAAGAGATTTGTCGATTTAACACCAGATTATAGTTAAAATAGTAATACATGTATTTTGTAAGCGCTTTTACAGGTGCTCAAAGTCGCTTTACACAGGTAGTAAAAAAGGACAACAAATAAATATAGTAAAAGTCACATTAAAATCGAGCAATAAAACAACAATCACACATTAAAAGCCAGTTTGAAGAGGTGAGTTTTTGTACGTTTTGGTGATAGTTATTGAATATTAATTTCAGTGTTTGACAGAGCTTGATGTGTGTGTGTGTGTGCTAACCCTGACTTCTGTGTGTGTGTGTGTGTGTGTGTCAGGTTGCTCAGCCTGATGAACCAGCAGCCGGTGCAGATGCAGTTGTTGCCGAGCCGATGGAGCACTGAGGCGTCCTGATTACTTCCCGTTATCAGAGGGTGGGTGGGGGGGTGGCATACATTCTCCCAGACCAGCCCGCCACACTTAGCTGCATCTCACCGGAGGAGTAAACATTAGCAGGGAAAGTTGTTCTTGTGATGTGCCACTTGCTATAAAAAAAAAAAAACTGTCGATCCAAAATATTCTGCAACCATCAACCAATGTGATGTTGCTTTTGTATGAGTAAAGCGTTCCAATTATACAAGTAATAAAGTCTTTTTTTGAAATGTGCTGCAGCTCTCCCTTTTATTCTTATTGGAGCTTCCTCTCCTGTAGTGTGTTAAAGGTTTTTGTGCATGTAAATGGTCTGCATGGTCTCACAAATTCTCTCCCACCCCCTCTGCCTGAAACGCCTCCATTAAACCATTTATTTTGTATCATAATGACACAAGCCCCCAGGAAGTGCGCCGGACTCTGATGAAAATATTCGTAGTGTCCAAACGGCGGTACTACAATTTCCGTATCAGTCCGTGACGTCACTGGGCCCAGAAATACTTTTTCCCATTGACTAACATGAGGAAAGAAACGTCTGTAAATCAGCGGATACTTTTTTTTAAACTAAATAAACTACCCAGTATGAACTATTGTATAGCCCTTATTAGAATCATTCGGTCCCTAAAGTTATAAAATGCACTAAAAGCCGAATCTAGATTTATTTTCTCTCTCCATTCATTCTAGTGAGCCGAGAGTGGGAGCTCGGGAGGCGGGGCTTAAGGGGCGCATGCTCTGTGAGCGCACATGCGGGTTCTTCTGCTCTGACAGCCAGGCATGACGGGTAATCTCGCTCTCTCAAAGGTTGGCCATTTTGTCCTCATGCGCCAATGAGCAGCTCTCATAGGAAAGAAGGAGACCCCGCCTCCCACGCTGTATCCAGTTCTTATTATACATCCATGTAATGACACCACAATAGCACACTCTTGTTTCTATTGGCTAGAGCTCCGACACATTGTACGTGATAGGCTAAGGGGCCGGACATCTCTAAGCGTTTAACCAATCACATCAGAGCTGGCCAGCTAACCAATCAGAGCAGCTCTGGTTTCAGACAGAGGGTGAAAAGGTAGTATGGGAAAAATAAAGAGCTTGTTGAACATGAACTCATGGAGAAATGTCCCGGTAAAGGCACTTAATATAAATATGAACAAAGGGAAACAGACGAGTGAGCTGCTGCGTTTTTTCCATATTGATCTTCAAAGTAAAATCAAACTAAAAGTCTTGAGTTGAGAACATTTTTATTTAAATTATTCACAGTATTTGAATCTCTTCATCTCTGCTTTTCTTAACAGTGAATACATCAATTCAGTTTACAAAAGTATAAATCTTTAAATAATTCAGAACACAACACAAGTTTCTAAAAAAGCTTAAAATAGTTTCGGTACCGAAGACAGGATTTCTCCATCGCTGACGGGAAGACGGGGAACTAATTACGTCCCAATATTTCAGGACAGTGCAGTCTCATCACACTGAGGGTGTTAGAAGGATCCTCGGTCTTCTAAAAGTGTTCATCTCGGACTGAAAGGTAGCAGGACGTTTGTTCAGCAGGCGAGAAAAGGCACGATCACCCCGATAAGCTAAAGTAATGCAGTTCCCTCTCGGCAGAATACTTTTCCTGGTGTTATCTTTTTAAATAGTGAACAAGCATGTTTTGAATTGACTCGGTCCTGTGTAATACATTTTAAAACCAACTCTATTACAAGTGCAAGTTTTAAATAACATCAAATAATTTTAAAGGTTGAGTATTGTGCAACAAATAAATATAACGAGTAACTCCTTTATAAGGAATTCCCACTGTGTTTGGGGTGTCTACCTACTTTTACACACATTTTTACAACAAGTCTAAACCTGAAAGCATCTTTAATAATTTCAAACTGACTTTATAAAAACGTCATGCACATTTACATAATGCATACTGGTATGATTCTATTTGTCATGAGCGTTAAGTGAATTAGGTCCCTGTTTTTTCTTAATAAATATGTACGTTTTGGAGGTCACCTATTATGCAAAATCCACTTGTTCATGTCTCTTCTACATCAACATGTGTCCCCTCTTCTTCATGTCTCTTCTACATCAACATGTGTCCCCTCTGTGTAAAGAGACTCTGAAAGTTTCAGGAAAAAAGATTCTCTCTCTTTTCGTCCTGATCCATTTCTATAAAAACCTGTCTGAAAATGAGCTGATCAGATTTTGGCCAATTGTGATGTCATAACAATTTTTTGGCTTGTGTAACCATTAGCCAATCACCAACCCCCCCCCCCCCCCCCCCACCTTATCACCTGAATCTCCTCCTAGAGCACCATTGTGTTCTTTTTAACCAAATATCTCTCAGAGGGGCGTGGGGAGGGGCTCCTTATTTTTATCTAAAGTAACAGACAGAGAATCAGCACTTTGGAAACAGGGCTGAAACAGAGGGGATTCTGGGATGCTGCAATGATCTGTTTGGTGTTTGGAGCCAAACACTTCAGAGCAGAGTCCTGCATTGGGTTGCGGGTGTTGCATAATAAATATATTAAAATAATAATAATTTAGTTTAATGTTTAAATCCTCAGACCTCTCCCCCGCGGGACCGCGCATAATCATAACCTCTGCGGCCCCCCACCTCCTCTTTTTGCGGTCCTCAGATTAATTTATAAACAACGTAATTAATTTTCTTTTTTAATTAAAAAAGAAACACACAGGCTACAAGTGTCTTAGGTTCAAGTTAGACAACTAATGTCTGGGTTAGTGTTCATGACTTCATGTTTATGTCCTCTTAATGGTTCATCTCAATGCACACACATTTTCCGTGCTTTCCAATAGTTTAAAATAGTTGTATTCCTCTGTTAAATAACCTGTTCAATACAAACATGCCACTTGTAAACATTAAATAACATTTCTGTGAACTGATATTTGTTTAGTGAGCTTATTAGAGGATGTTCCCTGAAAGATTGTAAAATGTCAATGAAGATGTCAGACTTAGTATATTTGTTAATAATTACATACAATACATGGAATTTGTGTGTGTGTGTTCCAAGTGAATCTGGTGGCCAGTACATAAATTATGTGGCCCCCACCACCATCAAAGTTGCCCATCCCTGTCCTAGATGGAGAAAATAACCAACATCCCACGCTTTTTGAGCCAAATATGAAACTGCGTGTTAATAATTGCACGTTTTCACTGCTCATAGGGTATGCGGGTTCGGGTCGGTTTGCGGAACTAATTGGCAATATGTGCGGGTGGCGGGGCGGGTTCGGTATTGCACGTCGCGGGTGCGGAGCGGGAGCGGTATTGCACGTCGCGGGTGCGGAGCGGGAGCGGTATTGCACGTCGCGGGTGCGGGGCGGGAGCGGGTCTTGAAAATCAGACCCGTGCAGGACTCTGCTTCAGAGACATGTTCTGTATATAACTGAGACCTATAATATATTGATGAAAAACAGTACACTAGGGGACCTTTAAGACATTTAACTCTACTTTTCTAGCCAGTAAAAGCTGATATTCATTAAAAACTGCCCTGCATACACACGTTCTCTCGTATTCAAGTAAATAGGGTGGGAGCACAGAACAGTTTTAAAGAAGTTGGAGTCAGTGTGAGGCTTTCTTGGCTCTCCTCTTCTTGTTCCTGCGCCTGACGGAGCTGCAGGAAGTCTCCGTCTCCGTGGTCCTGCTGAGGTCGTCCATCTTCTCCTGCTCCATCAGCGTGGTCACCTTCAGGGTGAGCTCCAGCTCCTCCAGGACTCCGCCCAGCTCCTCCTCTGGGACGCCCAGGTCGATCCCCCCCGCTCCCTGCTTGTGTTCAGGCACCTCCTCCCTCTGTAGCTCCGCCTCCTCTCCTCTCACTGCTGCTGGATCAGATTCTCTCTCTGCGTTCGGATCCTCTGCTTCGTTTGTAACGTCCTCAGGAAGGTTTTCCACGTCGGCTCCATCAGCTTGAGTCCTCTCCGCCTCCTCCTCGGTCTGGTGCTGCTGACAGGAGCAGTGTGAGGGATGTTCCCACTGCTGCTGAGGCTCCTCGGGGTAATCTGTGGACACATTTCAATGAAAAAAGTCATTCATTGATTAGCTTTGTAGCGGTGTATGTGAAATAAATACCTTTTTAATCTAGGAACATTCTCCCACAAATGATTAGTGCAGTGTAATCAATGTGTCCATGAGTCCAGACACTAGAACTTGTTATAGCAAAAATATATAATCACACTATAATAATAATAATACATTTGATTTAAATAGCGCTTTTCCTGGTGCTCAAAGCGCTTTACAAGCAAGTAAAGAAGACAAATAACAAAAGTAAAAAGTGCTAAGCTAGGTGGAATAAGGGCGAGGTTTTAAGTATTTACTATGTTTTAAGTACTTCTATTGTCAGCATTACATTGTAACTAAATCGTATGTTTGGCCTGTTAGCTACTAATCTTGTGTCCTGTATGATTGACGGATTTCCTATCATTCTATGTGGGACGAATAAAGGTATTCTGATTCAGGAAGTCATCTCAGTTCATACAAACAGAGAAACAAAAATGACATCCAGAGAGAGACTTTGAAGGAAGCTTAGTAAGGTATAGCTACTAAGTTTTTGTTTTTGGTTTGGTTTTGGTTAATCAATCAAAAAGTGTTATTAAGATGATCTGAATTTGGTCTATGTTTTATCGTGTCAAAATAAGGTAAAAGCACTTGAATGCTCTAATCCCTTTCGTTTCTGTTCACAGCTACATCACCAAAAAAACACATTCTCACTTCCTTAAAGTTATAGGAAACACCAGCTGGTTATCAGGTGATACAATATTCTTAAAGCAGGTTTTTTACGGTAATGGTCTAGAACAAAATGTCTCACATGATCCTCTGAGATATAGTGTCAGAGCATTTTAAATTCGAACATGTTCCTGTTTGGTTAAATGTTACTTCCTTCTACATTATAAGACAGCTCCAGTGAGCGTTCATGCATCTGTCTTCCTTGTAAACTCATTTCCATCACCTAGTTTCCATCTACATTACCATCACTTCAGTCACATGCTTTTATCACATGGCAATACTTATGTTGAGGTATAATGTTGTTAGAATTTTGATGCTATGACGTTTGTATTTTTGCTTTTGTTTGCTTTGTCCAGCCCTCTGAGGCATTTCTTGTGATTTGGGGCTATAATACATTTGGATTTGATTTGATGTACCTTCCCAGTCCTCCTGGTTCTTCTTCTCTGGTGTCATCTCCTCCACCAGCTGGCCCTCCTGCATCACCCGAGTGATCTCCGTCAGCTGCTGCAGGAGACTCTCCTCCTGGTCCGCCGTCACCCCCGCCACCCTGACACACACACACACACACACACACACACATTATTATCCAAAGCGACTAACATACATTCAGTCACCAAAGGTCACCATTGTGCTGAGAGAACATCTTTCATGTTTAATGTTGAAAAGGCAAGCAAGTACACACACACACACACACACACACACACACACACACACACACACACACACACACACACACACACACACACACACACACACACACACACACACACACACACACACACACACACACACACACACACACACACACACACACACACACACACACACACACACACACACACACACACACACACACACACACACACACACACACACACACACACACACACACACACACACACACACACACACACACACACACACACACACACACACAATTTGGTTCCACAAATTATATTACATAGACAGGGAATCAAATATATCGGGGCTAAGCAGCACAGAACACCTGCCACCCTGACACACACACACACACACACACACACACACACACACACACACACACACACACACACACACACACACACACACACACACACACACACACACACACCACACACACACACACACACACACACACCACACACACACACACACACACACACACACACACACACACACACACACACACACACACACACACACACACACACACACACACACACACACACACACACACCTCCTAACAATAGATAACTCATGTTAAACTCACTGTGTGAAATCAAGCAAATGTAATTGTTTCCCCAATTCTACCTCTAATTTGTATCTCACATTTTCCGTGGATATCCTTCTATAATAATATACTCATCAGTTAATGGCGTGCCTAACTTGAGACTGCTTCATTTTTTAATCAATGATTTTGTTCATTTTTGGAGGCTCAAGCGCTGATCAGTTTAAATCTTCTTACAGTTTTCCTGGAATACTTTTTTAACAAAACAGCTCGAAGATGAATGAATAAAAAGAACAAATATTAAGATGCTTACAAAGCCCTACAAAGATTAACTACTTTCACGCATCCTAATAAGAGCTTACCAGAGTAACAAGTAATAACAAGTAATACACTTCTAACTTTTGCCCAGTTTTTGAAAGTTATTATTAGTCAATTTATTGAACATGTTAAAACAAAACAAACAATAATTATAATTAGAACGAGAAGCAAAATAAAAAAACGTTCAAGGTATACAAAAACAAATGTTCAAATGTTTCAAAAAAACAGATCACAATAAGAACAGTTCATTATGTAAAAGGATGAGAACAAATAACAGAAAGGAAATGATCTCTGTGTTCGTACTTTACAGGAGAGTCATGTCTGTCTGAATCGTTCCTGCTGATGATATCATTGCACGTTCAAATTCAATTCAATAAACAAATGAGCTCCATCAAACCAGTACTTCCTGTCGGGAGAAGAGGTGTAGGAGGCGGAGAGATTCAATTATGTTCAGTGTGAAACCCACCTGTCAGAGCTGTGGTTGGCGATGGAGACGATGTTCTCCATCACCATCTCCGTCTCTCTCAGTTTGTCCTGCAGCTGCGACAACTCAAAGTCGGCTGTAGAGAGACAAAATACACAGAAATAAAATAGGTTTAAACAATCTGAACTCAGCAGAGAAACAAATCAAACACAGCACAAAAGTTGAGGCTGTTCAAATCATTTTGGAGACTGTTCTTGTTTTTTTGCAGCCTACAATTAATCTCCATAATAATCAATATGCCAGAAAATAACCCACATTCATTTATTTTCTCATTACGTTGATGCACTTTCTGAGGCTTAAAGCAAATCTGTAATTAATTCATTTAAATCTCTCAATAGGTGCTTTCACACCGGAGTACTTTTCCCCGTACTTTTCCCGTTTAGTTCCGTTAGTGCCTGGAATTTTGCGTTCACACCAAAAAGAGAACTTAGTTCATGAGAACTTGTACCCCCCATGTTTAGTGCCTGCTAGAGAGGTGGGACTATCCTGGGGAGAAAAAGTACCAATATCTGATTGGCTGGGCGAATTGCAAACCACGTAAAACACTTTTTTTTTTAAGCCGCCATTGTATTTGCTGGCATTAGCATTATTAGCATTAGCATTAGCCCCGTGCACCAACGGAGAGAGACTAACTTATGGCAACACAAAATAAAACATGGGAGCGGTGGAGATGAGGAGGTGTCGGCGTTCTGGCGATTTACTCGGAAGGCTTCAGTAGAAGCTGCTGGGAGTCCCAGCAGCTTCTACTGAAGCCAGTCCCCAACTCCGGGGACTTCCGGCCGGGGACTCCGGGTGGCAGTATACGCCGTGAAGTGGTTTGCGGCCTGCCAGTAAACCCAAAGCAGAAGAAGAAGAAGTGACGTCAGCGGCTTCATTTGCGTAATCTTCCCTCAGGGAACTTATTCCGGTGTGAACGCGATCTGCTCTTTAGTTCCATGGGGGTACTAAGTGCTGGGAACTAAGTGCTGGCACTAAGTACTGGGAACTAGGTACGGCAAAGTACTTGGTGTGAAAGCGGCTAATAAGTCAAATCAAATGTTTGTTAATGGGCAGGCCTAATGCTAAAATAATGAGTATAATTGACACTGAATGATACTCACAGATCTTCCTCTTTATGTTCTCTGAGCGAACTGAAGGGAACCGGCTCTCTGGAGGCTTGTTGTTGTTGTTGTTGCCCTTAGATGTGATCTGACAGGGAGACGAGAGACAGACGAAAAGAAGGTTAAAACTCTCAAAACAAGCCTATTTTTTTTGACAATTTACATAAAAACTAACTTACACAATATGTAAACAATTACCTTTTGTATTTCATTAAATGTCTGATCAATGAAATAAACCAAAACAATAAAAATAAGTTATCAATATAACACATCTGACCATTCAATGTCAGCTTTCAGTTTCTGATCAGTATCCATTTTAACTGTGAATGCGCTGTTATTCTTAAGAAATAATCTGACATTTTGGGAGATACAGGTATTCACTTGCTTACTGAGAGCAGTGTTTCCCATACATTGATCTCAATTTTTATTTTGGTGGTCTAATGGATAGTGAGGTGGGCTGATGATCGGAAGGTTGCGAGTTCAAATCCCGCCTGGAACACCGCTACTAGTGTGCCCTTGAGTAAGGCACTTAGCCCTCAGTTACTCCAGGGAGAATGTCCCTGTAATTGGTCATTGTAAATCGCTTTGGAATAAGGCGTCTGCTAAATGCCTAAATTGTAAATTGTATTTTTGGGAGAACAAACCCCACAGATCCTCCACTCCGGTGTGTACTCACTCATTAACAACGCAACACAGAGCAACAAGAATGTTGTCTACAGTAGCCATGAACTCGCATGTATTTTCTTATTTGAGGGGGGGGTGGATGCGTGGGCCACCCGAATAGGTTAAGGGGCCTTTGGCTTTTCTTGCCGGGGGGGGGGGGGGGATTGATACCACTCTCAAAACTGAACTTTAACCATAAAGCCACAAAACATTACAATACAACGATCTTACACTCACCTGTAAAGCTCACTTAAAACATGTTCACTACATTAACACACGTTGTATTTGTTACCGTGTGCTGGAATAGTCTTGTCTTTGTAGAAATGTAACAAATGGGGCGAAGCCTGCGAGCTAGTTCAGGCAGTCAACTCGAGCACGTATGCTGCATTCATACATAACGCCCCTTGCCACTCTACAACCAACCAAAAAGGGTCTCCTTAATATACCGCTCTATTTAACCTGCCAGATATCTCTCTATGCATTGCTTGCTGCTGTTATTGCTGCAGCTACTTCCACATCGCTGCTGCTTGCCTGCCCCACCACCACCCCATCACCACTGCAGCTTCCACCCCAGCTTCCACCGCAACTTCCACCTGTAGGCTCTGGGGGTTAGTTATTTAATCATCACTCATCGTGCTATGTATATCTGTGGAGTGATGAGCCCGAGCCTAGACGCCAAACTCAACTATATGCTGCTTCTAATAAACATGTTAAAGAAACACGTGAGTTGTCTGACTGAACTTTAGTTTTACATGCACAGGATTACATTTACAACGTTTAATAAAAAGTTGTTTTTACACCAACTCTGTCTTTTGAGTTTATTAAATCAGACATGGTGTTGATTCTGCAGTGTTTCACCTTAAACAGGATGTAGAGGATGTAGAGTAAGATCCCGAAGCCGTACACGGGGATGATCTGTCCGGCCAGGTTGGACTTCCCCCCCGTCCCGGCCCCGGTTCCTGCTCCTTTGGCCCGGGCGTTGGCCTCGGTGTTCTGAGCTCTGGAGAAGCTGGAGGCCGACTTCTGACCCCGACCCTCAGGGGCCGCCTGACGGTTTGCCTTAGGAGGAAAGTTACCCGCACCTGCAGGGTGAGGAGGTCGAGGTTATAAAACATATGGAATAATATCAACACATATACAAGAATTTGTTATCTAACTTTGATACATATCATGACTGTTTTGGGGTAATCTGTAAAGGGACAAGAGATGTTTCGAGAGTTTTTTAAAGACCTGTAAACAAGATCTTAATGGACTGAACTAAGAACATCCATAACATTCACCTGTTTGCAACTTACAAATTATGTATCACTTGTATATAGACTCTTATGGCACTACTTCTATTCTATTTTATAATATTTACTTGCACTATTGTATCTGTGTTATTGTGTTGCACTGTTGGAGGAGCCTGTGACCTAAGATTTTCATCGTCATAACTACAGTGTAGCTATGTATGAATTACAATAAAAGCCTTGAATCTTGAAAGAAAATAATGTATTTTTGCTTGGTATTGAAATACCAAATGTATCTTATTTTAATAATCTTGTTTTAACTGAGTATAATGAAACTCCCCGCTGGGTATCGATAAAGTTGTTCTTATCTAATGATCAGATCATCAGGAGGTTTACTCCCGAGAGTCAGAACTACATTTGCCGAGGCAGCTTTTAGCTTTTATGAACCACAAGCCTGGAACAAACTGCCTGAAAATTGGTTATCATGAGATCCTTTACCCGTGCCTTATCGTTGCACTTTCAGCTGCAACCATTATTTGTTTGTTTCGTTTTTAATTATGATGTGTTAAATACCTATGTGAAGCACTTTGAATTGCCTCTGTGTCTTAAAATGTGCTATACAAATAAACTAACCTTGAACCTTAAATGTGTCTATACATATAATTCAGGTGTGTTTGGCGCCCCCTTCAGGGAGGAAAGTGTAACTACAAGAGCGATGATACACCGGTGATGTTCAGCACACAGTGGCCTAATTCACGAAATAAAAACACTTTAAATCACATACTTAAAACCATAACATCATACACATTAAATCCCCCGTGTGAATATCCTCCACACATCGAGGTAAAGACATAAATAACCCGTTAAAGGTGACGCACCGTCCGGCCGATCCGCACCATCCTTCCTCCCGCGGGACAGCAGAATTTTGGGCATCAGCAGCGCGACGCACAGCACGAGACACGTCGCGAGGGTCACCTTCTGGAACATGGACATCGCCATGACGACAGGTGAGTTACCGGGGACCGTCCTGAGGGGAAGAACCGGTGAAATCTGACGGGTTTACGGTGAGGAACAGGAGAAGACGTTACGTCGTTTCTCATCAATCGGTTGCACTTCCTTGTTGATTCGAGAACCGGAAGTGCGAAGACGCTGTACCGGGTGTGATTCACCGATGGGTGGCGCCAAAATACCGCCTTTTTTTAAAGCTATGCTAACCATCAACACAATTACTGCTTCACATTCAATTTGAAATTAACACTTGCTTGCTGAAAAATGCTATTAAAATACCAAAGTCGATTATTTATCACCTGCACGTGCACATGTGAGAACACCTGTAACCCACACACTATTTAGAAATCAAAGCCAAAGCCAAATTAATAGTTTTATACATACTATGTACATAGCCTAGTTAAAACAATTTAGCCATTGCAAAACATCATGTAAAACTACACTGTTATGTTATGACTGTGTGTACTCAAAGCAAACAAATGCCCCTTAAAATAATACTTAAAATAGTATATATTATATTGTTATATTTTTGGGTTAGTAGAAGTGAAATTGGCATGAAAAGACTCAATAACAACAACAATACATGTTCAACAAGGGCAACCTGATCAAGTCGTCTTAGTAACATTCAACCACTGAATTGTAATAAGTAGTTTCTGTAACACTTTAGAATTGAATCGATTATTAATTACCGTCAAATTATTATTGAAACTATTTAGATCTTTTGTAAAAATGTCTTTAAATTACTTTCTCGTTGGTGTCTGGAGCATACTCACAATTATTTTTGAGTGATCGCAGGGCATAAATAATGAGCACACGACTGAAATCAAAATTCAGTTTAATGAGTAAAGACGGAAACCCTTGAGATCTGAAGCAGCACTCATCTCTGTCCATTCTTCAGATTTATGAAGAAGAAGCAGTGGATCCTCCTCCGATGTTGAACTGTATTTTTTACAGTATTTGGGAATATGTTTTCATTTCGTTTGCGGCTTCCTTCATGCCAGATGGGCGAGGTTCACCACAGAGGACAGTTTATGGACTCACAATCAGAGAGAAGTCTAAAAAAGACAACTTAGCATTTTCTCTGTGATGGATGACTTGCTTGATGCTATGTGCGGCTTGCCTCCATTCGTCTCTTATTTCAGTGTGGTGAACAGAAATTATTTGTTGAATGTTTAAAAAAAAGAAGCAGAATCATCATTAAATATCCTCCTGATTCTATTTTCACTTCCTCTGTGAATCTCAGGTCCGTTTGATCAGAAAGTTTTCAGGGGAGTTTCCACCAGCAGCTCTTTAATAAAGAGTTCAATCAAGGGAAACTTGTCCCATCAGTTTTGTTTCCACACATGCTTCAGTCTGAAACAGGAAGCTGATGAAGACTCTGTGAGATTTAGAGTCCAACTGGCTCAGAGTCTTCCTGTTCTGATCTGCAGAGGATAGAGAAGAACATGTGATTTTAAAGGGATAATAGGAACATATAATCAGACGTATGTGCAGCAGTGAAATAATCATAGCAGAAATCTTAATAAATTGTGTTTTAGCGACTAAACTTCCAATAAGAAGTCACTAAAAGGCAAAATTAGGCTCTTTACTGTGACACGCTGAAAAATAATCTGTGCTGAAGTTGTTGTTTAACAATGTTTAATAAAAAATATATCACTAAAGCATAGACTAGTTCACCCTATTAGTTTAAAAACAGCCCATATACTTTTAAATAGGCAAACTAAGTACAGAAAGACCACACCCAGGTGACAATTGCCAGAAGTGATGTACAATGTGCAGCACAAACAACTAATGAAGCTCAGCGTAAGTTCAACCAGGAAGACCGTCTTTACTCTTCATTTACTATACCCATGTAACTACTCTCTCTCCTCTCAATAAGTGATCGGGGGCGTCACTCTCCAGCTTAACCAATCACTTCGCTCTATTCCCAAGAGCCTATCATAGCGCTCTGCCAAACCTTTTAAGTCTGCTCCCCCCTCTGACAGCTGTCATTTCAGGTGACTCTACGCAACCCTCCTCCCCCCCTTTTCACCTCCTGTCCCTCTGAATCCAGGGTCAAGCTAAGCCACTCCCCTTCAGACCGACCCAACTATCCATTCACCACCACCAGTGTCAAGCTAAGCCCCTCCCCTTCAGACCGACCCAACTATCCATTCACCACCACCAGTGTCAAGCTAAGCCCCTCCCCTTCAGACCGACCCAACTATCCATTCACCACCACCAGTGTCAAGCTAAGCCCCTCCCCTTCAGACCAACCCAACTATCCATTCACCACCACCAGTGTCAAGCTAAGCCCCTCCCCTTCAGACCGACCCAACTATCCATTCACCACCACCAGGGTCAAGCTAAGCCCCTCCCCTTCAGACTGACCCAACTATCCATTCACCACCACCAGTGCCTAGACCCCGGGGGGGTTTCATCGGATCGGTTCTACCCTCCCGAATGATACTTCCTGCACAACGGGGCCTAATCGCCAAAATCACCATTACATTCATTTGTGTATCTCTGCAATAAATATGTATTCTTACATCAAAACCGTCTCTCCTGATTGAACTGATGATAATTAAAAGAATTAACACATCCTACAAAAGCACTGTTTCTCCTACATTGAGCTTTACATTATGAATGAATGGTTCGGGCACTTCCAATAAAAAAATATATATATATTTTCCTCCTTTGGAAAAACACACTAAATACCATTTTTTATTAGATTTCCAAGACAAAAGGCAATATAAAACTCAAAGTATGACCGTTTTACATGCAATGGTCTTACATAAGTTGGAGCCACTGTAAGCCAAGACATACAATGGACGTATAAACTGCATTTTACAGCATTATCTTTGTTTGGAAATTCTCAGTTTGACCTATATGTATACAATAGTCTTGGCAGAACTGCAGGCATTGAATAACTTATAATATAAACAGACTTCTGCCAAGAAATATACACCCACACACACCCCTTCAAATGTGAGGGTAGTTCACGAAAAGGTCTTAGATAATGTAGGAGCCATGAAACGTGTATAGTAATGTGTTTTGTTTTAATATAAGATATTTGTTTGATCACTATTGATTGGTTGGCTTGGGTCACATGGATACGGGCGGCACTCATTATAATCCTGTTCACCTGCGTGAGGTGTGTGTGTGGAAGAGAGGGTGACACAGGGCCGTTGTACTTTTTGTTGACCGCAAGATTTATGATTGCTTTGATCATTATTATTACAATGTCTATGTCTGATCACCGCGTATTTTTCATTAAACTACATTACAATTCAACAGAGTTTTGATCTCAGCAAGTACTCTTTTTTTAGCGTGTCATACAACATCAAACAGGCCCGGCATCAGCCTCTCAGCGACTTTGTTTGTTTCCTGCTGTCGCTATAGATAAGTTAATTGTAACCACATGTAACAGTAATCTTGCATCTTCCAGTGTTTACAGTCATGTGTTTGCAAAATCTTGTATTCTCAACATCAAGCTGTGTTCCTTACTTCCCTTAAAGAGGAGATATTATGCTCACTACAGGAACAATAGGGCCTCTCTAAAATGTTCCTATCTGAGGTTATTTAAGACCAGGGTTTATGCAGGAATCCTGAAGTCAAATGTAATACCTTTTAGGACCTTTTTTAAGACCCTTTCCATACATTTTAAGACCTCATCGCCACTTGGAGTTCTAACCGGTTACATTGGCGACACACTTTACCTCACATTGACTATATACAGTATTGATTGTCCTTCCTCCTTATCTTCCAACCATTTGGACGCAGACTTGCATTTCCCCATAACCATGTTGTTTAACAACCGGCGTAAACAGGCCTTCGCGCGCTATCAAGCAGTGAGCGTGCAATGTCCTGTTCAGATGACGTCAAATCCAACGGGATGCCATAAATAAACTACACAGAATCACACTACACACCTACGCAATGATTACATTCAGGCAGACTGTAGAATACAACCTCTTTGGACCATTTATATACTTATTGAAAACAAGCTACAAAATGTAATACCTTGGAAAATGCCGTTTAATACTTTTTAATAGCCTTAATTTTCTCTAAATTGATTTATCAACTTTTAATACTTTTTAAGACACATATTGTATTGTATTTATTCTATTTAAAACTACCTGATTAAATCAAGTTGTAATGTTGAATAAAAGTTGACAGTAGAATCAAAGTCTTGTCAAGCACAAGGAAACCTTACATGTGCCAGTGTTATTTCTAATGCAGAGTCAGATTGTTCATATCATTATGTCATTATGTTAATTCTCTATCCTCATTTAACCCTGAAGGTCAGGTCAGACAAGTTACTCAATCATCAAAGAAAGGCAGGAACCAAGCAAAGTACACATATATAAAAAGCAGTGGTCCAGTGGCCACATTTAAAAGTCTTTGACAAAAGCTTATATAAATCTACAAGAACATCCAAGATCAACAGAGCTATTTGAGTCTTGAGAGAAGAGTTGGAAAGAGATTCAGCGTCTGGATCCAGGAAACCTTCACTGGAGCCACATTTATAAAGGAGACTTCCATTTAACGCCGTCCAAAGAAAATATACAGCGAATGACATTTAAAGATGCTTCATTTCGCACCTCAGTTAATCATAAAATGTAATGAAACCTCCAGAGTTGGTGAAGTTTAAATGTGTTAGGATTTTTATGATAAAAAATTAAATAATTTTCTAAAAAGCTGTTTAAACATGAACTCTGGAAGCCAGCAAAAATTGTAAAAGTCACCACATCCGTTGTCCAGCGTGGTTTGAATGATATAGTGTAGTGTAGTTGTACTGTTCAGGGTTCATACACTTTTTCACCAATGATTTTCCATGACTTCTCCATGACCTTTACCTAATTTTCCATGACCAAAAACATTACTCTTTCTCAGCGGTACCACTGAAAATGGTTTATTTTAACATGGAACAGGAAAATAAGGTCTGCATATGAAACATGTTGTGCCTATCTAAAACAAATCAAATAGTAGGATTACTAGCTTCTACACGCTAAAGCAACTAAAATCTCTCACCAGCAAAATGCCTCGTCAGTTAAATGCCATTCTACGTTTCATTACTATACGATACAGTATTTATTATCATTATAGTATTACTATTTCGGCATTTGATGCAACTTTAGTTACATTTCCATGACTTTTCCAAAACTTTGGGAAAAATATTGTTTTCCATAATTTTTCCAGAACCTGGAATTAGCATTTTGAATTTCCTTGACTGTTCCAGGTTTTTAATGACCGTAAGAACCCTGACTGTTAGTATCATAATGATAGGGAGGGCTTCTGGTGGCTTTATGGCATGTTTTTTAACCTGAAACCTTGTTAATTGAGGATTTTGTGGAGTCTGCTGCACTTGCTTTCACCCTTCTCACATCTGCCCTCACAGCCAACCACTGCTCACTCCTATCTGATGTATTTCTCTGCTTATGAAGAAGGCTTTTTATTCATATGTAAAGCTGTAGGCAAATCATTAGCTTCCAATGAGAGCCAACTGTTTTGAAATATTTGATCTCTGTAGATAAACTGCATATTTTACATTCTTATTTATCTATCCAGACATCAGCATGGGATTCTTCAAGGGAGAACACATATTGACCGCTGTCAGGCTGCAGAGTTGGGTCATTATTATGTACGAGTTTACTCTTTGTGTCATAACCATTTCATTGAGCGGATTATAGGGGAGGACAGGTTAGATCTTAAAGCAGTAATAAATTACACACATCTGATTCTAAGCCTTCTTTATATGAGCTTTAGATGTCAGCAAGCCTGTCATGATGCACAATATGGATTCATTCATCACCTTCAAACTGAACATCCAGACTAAACGTAATGCTTCTTCAAAGAAAATATGCTTCACATGGATGATAGTGTCCGCAGCCTCTGGGTTTGATGTCTACATATGGTCATATTTGGGATGAGCTTTGTGAGCTCACTTGTATATCTTCCAGATATCCCGGTGCATGTTTTAGTTCAAGCTGTCAGAGCAGCTGCCGGGACCGTAACTCATCGACATCTGAATATTACCTCTCATTGCCTCTCCGTGCTGCCATTAAGATGGCCTCCTTCGTAGTCCAGCTGGCACAGGATCATGTTGTTCTTGAGGAAAAACTTGTCTCCCACGCAGAATCTGCAGAGAGGGAATATAAAAATATGGATCTGAATCATGAGTTCCCAGTGGAGCATCTCAGGCCAAATTAATCTTGCATGATTGCTTGCTGATTAACCATCTTTAACTCCGACAGGGTTTAAAAGTGCAGTAAACTTTCTGCTTACAATGCATCGCTGGTATGCTCGTAATGACCGGTGAGCTCACTCACTAGTGCACCTCGAAGATAAGTCAACTGAATTTGATCTCCCCGGCTAATTGCTGCCCTAATCTTACCTCTGGCGGCAGAGCTGACAGGCGAAGCAGTCTAAATGGTAGACGTTGTCTCTGGCTCTCATCACCATCTCAAAGGCAGGGATCAGCTTACTGCAGGCTGCACAGTTCCCCGTCACCCCGAAGAGCCTGAGAGGGAAGAGGGCGACAAGCAGACCTGTAGTCTGGGCGCACTTAAAATACATTTCACCCAAGAGCTAAAGAAGGATAAAGACACTGAAATAACAACAGAAAAGTAGTTCAACAACTGCATTTCCTACAGATTATTGATGGATTATTGCTGCTGCTGCTAATGCAGAGCTTGCATCATATTCTATGGATTTTGTACGTAATTAAGAGCAGCCAAGCGGGAGGAAACATTCCCTATAGCCCCTTAGTTGTAACTCTGAGTAGGAGTAGGATACATTTCCTTTGGGGAATTAGTATGAACCACATATCAAAGCAATCTGTCCAGTAGTTGTGGAGACATTTGACTTCAAACCAAAAATGTTGTGATGACTCGTTATGATTATCACAGCCACAGTCGCCCCCCTAAATACAAATGTATTTGAGAAAACTGTGGGGCGGTTTTGCTTTGTGTTTTAATTAGTTTGAGGCGTTGAAGGGATTGTTTTGTTTTGTAATCCAAGCTTCTTTGTGCTTTGTTTACATTTTAAAGCTAGTCTGGCCATGCATGCATGCATGCGAGTCCAAGTTTATTAGCTGTGCTAGCTAGCCAACGGCCGCTCAGAGATAACATTACTTTACATTTCATATGTTAAATACTGCTACTACTTGTTTTTGAATTCTTATTTTTTATAATTGTATTAACGTGGGCTTGCCTTTTTACATCATATGCAAGTCTTCTCCTATAATCCGCACTGTACCTATGCGGCTGTAACTCTGTAAATGTTCCCGCTGCGAGACGAACAAAAACAATTCATTTAGGAAACACTTTTGTCCAGAGCAACTAAAAAAGTGCAATCAATACAAATTCAGAACAGCAAGAATCACGTACAACATTTCAAAGTTCTTCATACAGAAAAAGTGTTTTTCTATCATAAAATAGCTTTGTTTAATAGCATCCCTGTTTTTGCCGTTAGCATCGTTAGCTGCCTGCTAGGAACTTCAATCTTCCTTCCTTTCATTCAGCCAGTACAGCGAACACATCTGGGCTGCAGACATGTATCAATTATTGATATTCGAAATATTATAAATAAGCATGCGTGCATTCACGTAATGCGTATTTGTGCATGTTTCAGAGAGAGCTTGAGTCACATGTAAGAACCTTTTTGGAAAGGTATGTGAGCATGGCTAATTGAGGCTCCATTGGTCTACATGATGTGATTAAAGTGTTAGAAATGCAGAATAATCTGAGTGTGAACGCTCACATGTTGTAACGATGGACTCAGTAATACAGGATTTTCAAAAATCTTTTATAAACACATTTCTGTTGTTGCTGCAGGAGACTTTAAATGCTTCACCTGCTGTGAACCAGGGGATTTCTGTGTCAGATGTAATAGCTTTCACAAGCTGGATATCATTTTTCCATTATATCAGCTGCTGATAGAGAGCAGCCAAAATAGGATTCACTGATATGAAAATGTCAAGTTTTATATGGAAATGTCACTTATTTAAGTGCCACATGGGGGCTTTAGTCTGCCCTTATTACAGGCACTCTTCTGAAACTAACAATTTATCCGTAATGTCCTCAAGCTACCTGAGAACAAACCCTGTGTTGTGTTTGAATGCTCTGTGACTCAGAGCTGACCAGCTGCAGATTGCTTCACCTCGCATTCACCTCCAAAAGAACAAACAAACAACTCTCCAGGGTCTGACGAACATTACAAATGTTATGCTCCAGTGGTGGTAAGTAACCAAGTACATTTACTCAAGTATTGTACTTGAGGTACTTGAATGTTACCCGAATATTTTATACTACTTTATACTCCAATTTTGTACTTTTTACTCCACTACATTTATTTTACAGATGTATTTACTAGTTACTTTTTAAATTCAGATTTTCAAACATAATACTTACAGGAGAGACTTTTAGAATATGATTATTTGGTATCGATTAAAGCATCCGACATTATGTTAAAGTAACTAAAACCATGAGTCGGTAAACAGGAAATTAATTAGAATTACAATTGTTTTTGTTCAAAAATATTTCACATTTCCAGCTTTTTAATTGTGAAGATTTGCTGCTTTTGATTTAATATATTTAAATATCTTTAGAATTGGTCCGGCAGTGGCTCAGTCAGTAGGGGCTTGGACTGGGAGTTGAAGGATCGCCGGTTCAAGCCCCCAAACAGACTTAAAATATTCCTATTCATTCATAATCATCCCCTTCCGAAATATTGTTTTAATCCTACTTGAATACTTTACTTTTACCATTCTCGAAGCAGAACTTGTACTTGAAGTTGAGTATTTTAACAATGTGGTATTAGTACTTTACTCAAGTGAAGAATCTGAATCCTTTTTCCACCACTGCCATATTCCAGTAGATGAAAAGGGGGGTTTGGGAGGACTAGCTATGAACAATGACATCCCTGAAAAAAGGAGGGTGGAGAGAGAGAGCATGTGTCTCCCAGAGCTCGGGACGACAAATGAAAGAACGTTATCAAACGAGTGACCAACGCGGGAACAAAAGCGAGTCCTAATTAAGAGAAATGTTCTGATCTAACGAGGCCGAGTCCTGAGCACCTGGTGGGTTTTTTTTCCTCCTCCTTAACGAGGCTACGCAGCTCAATGCTAATTCTCTACTAATGGTCCAATTAAAAGAAATCACATGGTTTTAATCCTGCTCTTCAAAGGCTTTTGGTCTGCACCCTCGCGATGATGAGGAAAACAGGAGGCAATCTAGCCAATTTAACTGTCAAAAGGGGTTTTAGTCTCTTAAGTGCAGCGCAGCTAATGAGAGACTTAGCTCCAACCAAATCCAGCTGGATTGTACATGAGACTAACACATGAGTTCAGCAATGTGGCTGAGATATCAGGAGTTCTCCTGCTGACCTGACACCAGACGTCGTTATTGCAGGCAAGAAAAGGAAGGCTACATAACTCAGAGGGGCCGTTAGAGCCGGCGTTTGGGTTTGTGAGAAAGTGGTGTCCACTATAGATTCATGGTCAAAACACTGCATTGTATTTAAAACATACTTAGTCATACATTCATTTTGTGGTGATTCACAGGCATTAGACATGGAGTTTAGACAATCTTAAACATTGATCTTTATCTGAACAGTTTCTTAAGAGTGTTTGAAGTGTTATGGACCTCCTGCCCCCAATAAAATGGAAGATAATTTAGACAGACACTCCAACTACGACAAACGTACTTAAAGATACAGTTAACCAGAACTTGGGAACATGATACCACTAAACATGGAGTCAGGAGACAGTTAGCTTATTTAAGCGTAAAGGACAGGGGATAACAGCCTCCCTTCTCTAAGGCTAACAACATCGGCTTACAGGCATCTGTAATGATCCCTAAAGAAATCATTATGTGTCTTGTTTGTTTAAAATGGTGTTAAAATGCAACCCTATCTCCTACATAATTACATCCCTATGCAATTAAACTGCTAAAATGAAACAGAATATGTCCTGGATTAAGGTCGCCATTTTAAACTCATGGTGAGCAATGCAAATTGGAAGAAAACTAAATATGAATTCCACAAAACTACTTGGTTAGGTAAGCCAAAAAATCATGAATTGGGTTTTAAAAAGAAGGTTGTTACGTCATTTACCTTGAGGATGTATAATGTATAAATAATAATGTACTGTATAGTACTGTACTGTACTGTACTGTACTGTAAGTGAATATTGAGGCATGGTTTCAAACTGGACACAAACTCAGGTATTCATTCATATACCTCATACATACACTTATATTATCAATCAATAATCCAGGACAAAATATGTCTCCCTCAAATAGTAATTGAGGATTCAGTTTAGTTGTATTGAATTACATTTTTACGAGGACAGGCTAAAAAATGACAATTCAGAAAAGAGACTCCAGGAATTTACTGATCCTGGCCAAAACACAGTCCAAGAAATAACCCCACCTTTAAATGAGGATACACAGACCCAACGCTAGCTGCTTCCCTGTTTTCAGTCTTTATGCTAAGCTAAGCTAAGCTAACCGAGTGCCGGCTGGAGTTTCATAATTACTGCACAACATGAAAGAGGTATCAATCTTCTGATCCAACTCGCTGAAATAAAGCAGATGAATGTATTTCCCAAAAAGTTTTAAACTATTCCTCAACATGTTAAAAGCATGGGATTGTTGCAATACTAAATGAGTGTTTCTCTACTTACTTTGTGTTAGCTTCACCCAATATTGTCTTATTTCTTTAGATTTTAGACCTTTAATGTAAAAAAAGTGGCATCAAAGGTCAGTAAAAATAATCAATGATGATAGAAAGCAGAGCAGAAGTATGCAAAATGCTTTATTTTTAATACATGAATCCCTCAGCCAACCACACGTCCAACGACCACACAAGATAAACCCTTTTCAGGTATTACGGGAGGCGTGTGACACAGTGTGTTAGTGCACTGATCTTCGAATCAGAGGATAGCAAGTTCGAGTCCCACTGCAGTCAGCATGTCGTTGTGTCCCTGGGCAAGACACTTCACCCCAAATTGCTCCTGTGGGGATTGTCCAGTATTGAGTATGTAAGTCGCTTTGGATAAAAGCGTCTAACAAGTAACATGTCATGTAATGTAATGTAATGTATTATAAGAAGAAAACTTTAATACTGTGTCCATTAAGGACTTCAATACAAACTGCAGAGTCCCAGTATGATGAATCAAGCTTATTAAATAACAGGTAAAACCTGCTTGGACTTGTTGTGTAAAATCTCTCAGAAACATGACACACCCTGTGAGGTTTTCACAAAAAGCTTTCCTAAATTAGCCTGAAGGTTCGGCAGTGTTTAATCTGAGTTGACACAAGATAGTAAGGGTCGTTTATGTTCAAGGAGTTAACTGAAAGCTGTTGTGTTGAAATGGTACATGCATAAATGTCTTAGTACGTTTCTCATGTAAAACATTGACTTCTCACTCGTGTCTACAGCTGTCCTTGTACAAGTTACAAATCTGCACACTTTCATTTTTCAGTTTCTGCAGGGTGGTAAATAGGTGGCTCTCAGATTCAAATTAAAATCTCTATTCCTACAGTCGCTCTAATATCCTACAATATCAGACTGTTTATCCTGAGTGGATCTAACTCTTTCAATCTGATACTGTATCTACTTTAACATTATTTAACATACTGCAAACTCAGCACTTCACTTCTATGATGGCAACAGCAGTTTTTAATATTTGTTTTCAAGCTGGATTTCTGAAAGGAATTCTTCACCCCCAACAAGATCATTGTATATCAATTACTAACCCAGTGTTACCTTGAATTCTTGAAGACAACTCTTCTTGCATGCCTTTACAGTGAATTAACTTCTGCAGCAAAAGTGTTTCAATTAGCAAGGGTTTACGTGAACATGCATGTGTTTGGGAAGTAGTAAGCATAGGACTGCATAAATAAGCCTTGGATTAAACAGCTTAGCCTTAAGTGGTGTGAGAGTTGGTGAACGAATATTTTTATATAGTTCTGCTTTTGTTAAAAGCAGCTGCCATTTACTTCTATTCACCACAACTCCTTCGTGTATCGTAGAAGCATGGAAGAAAAACAAAAATGTCTTCAAGAATTTAAGGTAGTTCAGGGTGAGTCATTGATAAACATTTGGTCATTTTGGGGGTGAAATACTCCTTAAAGTCCAGATGCACCTGTAGAGGGCTTCATAACGTTTAAGCTTTCATCTGTTTGCATTTAAAATATAATTTATTACTACAATAAGCAGTATTCTATCCTTGTACAGTATTCACTTTTTCATTCTGTTTTTAGCTCACCCTATTCTATTTGACATGTATATAGTTTGCTTCTTATGCATTACCGGCACTTTGGTCAGTTGCAGAATTCTCTGTTTCTTCTTGCACTATTTCTTATTGTTTTCTTTGTTTATGTCTTATATATATACACATTTCCCATTGATGAAGGAGCCTGGGATTTAAGATTTGCATTGCCATAACTACACTGTATCTGCTGTGCATAAGATACGACAAGAGAAGGAAATTGTTGTGCCAGAGTTACAAAAATACAATAAACACAGCAGCATAATAATAAAACTGTACACTAACAGTGCAGTAATAAGAGAATAAGGCCTCTGAATGTTGATGTTACCTGAGGTAGTCCCTGCGGCAGAGGATGAGGTTGGCCCGGGTGTAGAGCGTGGATCCGACGCGGCCCAGGCGGCAGTCGCAGCAGGAGCACTTCAGACAGTCCTCGTGCCAGAACCGGTCCAGCGCCTGCAGCATGAAGCGGTCCCGGATCCTGCCGTTACAGCCGGCACATCCTCGAGGTTTTTCTCTGGACTGGAGGGACACGAGAGACACACCTGGAGGATTCAAACAGCAGGGAGACAAAGATGGAGAGGACAATCAGAAAGCTGATCATGATAAACCACTCATTGAAAATAGGTATCAAAGAAATTACAATAAGCTTTATACAGGAGATCAGATCAGTGCAAGAAGTTATCAAATTGTTTACTTGAGTAAAAGTACTAATACTACAGTGTAGAAATACTCAGTCACAAGTAAAAGTCCTGCTCTTAAAATTGTACTTAAGTAAATGTAACAGCATACAAAACACACTTTAAGTACCAAAAGTAAAATAACTCATTATTTAATTAATAGGGAGGGATGAAACCCTCTTTAATGGTCACACATGCAGAGCACACAGCACACACAGTGAAATTTGGCCTCTGCTTTTTAACCCATCCTAGTACAAGGAGTCTAGTACTAGGAGCAGTGGGCAGCTATTGTACAGCGCCCGGGGAGCAATGGGAGTGGGGGGGAAGGGGGGTGTCCGGTGCCTTGCTCAAGGGCACCACGGCAGGGCAGGAGGTGAACTGGGACCTCTCCAAGTAGAAGTCCACACTCCATATTTAGGTCTGGTCGGGGACTTGAACCAGCGACCCTACGGCTCCCAGTCCAAGCCCCTACTGACTGAGCCACTGCCAGACTTCATTATGCAGAATTTGGGCACCATATGTATTTTTTATTATTTTACTATAATTATTGATGCATGTGTTCATCACTGGTACAAGTGGGGCTTCTTTCAATTACTTTATATACTACTGGGTAGCTTAACCTATAATAATATATATTAATGTTTTATTGATTTAGAAATTCATATTTCTTTATAACTGCTTGGTTTTAAAACTTGATGAAATATGCAACAAATAATATAGGGGAGCATACAGTAGGTATAAAGTGGCATAATGTGAAAATACTCAAGTAAATAATTGAGGTACTTGTACTTAACTTAAGTACAGTACTTGTTGTATTCCACCACTGGAGATATGAAAACATGTTATACATAATAAAGTCACTGTGGAATATCACACATTAAATCACGTACAGTTAATGCAAACTGCTAAACCCTAAATAGGACAATAACACTTAAAAATGTGTTTATGCTCATAGTTGGACTACATAATGTCTTAACTTTCACTTTATTCGCACATAGGTCTATATCAGAGTGAAATAATAACATATCGAGGACAACATAAAACCATAATAAGAACACAGCAGTAGTTTCCTGTTGGTACACAGTGTCATTATTCATCTAAATAAAAGTATTTCACAGACTAACTGACATTCAAATAATTGTTCTGATATCTCAATGTTAATTCAGTCTTGCAGCAGAGTTACACACAACCGTTCACTCCTCTAAACCCTGTCTGCTGTCCTACATAGAGAGGGGGAGTAACCGCTGAACAGAAAGGCACTATCTCAGCGCTCAGTACTTACTCTCCTCCTTGTCCAGCACCATGCTTTCTGGGAAAAACAACAATCCACCAACAGGAGATAAGACCCCGAGAGCGATGGGAAAACAGGGGCTCAAACTTCGCGACTCATTACTCCAAAGAGAGGAAAAACCGCCACAGAGACGCGTTTTCTGGGTCTTAAAATGAATAAAAATAGCCCGGCGGATGGATGCAAAGCGACCCCGGGTATCACCTTGCCTGCAGGAGAGATGTGCTGAGATCCGGAGAGGCTGTGCGTCTTATCTGCGCTGATGTCAGAGCAGAAGCATGTGTGTCTGCAGGCTGCGGCTCTGAGAACTGAACCTCCTCTCTCTGCCTCCTCCCTCTGCAACAAAAAAAAAAAACTCCCACAGTCAAATGTTTTTTTTTTTTTCAACGCTGCGTGCTAATTATATAAAGTCATTATGCTCAGATCTGATAGTGCCCGCCCCCTCCCTCTCGGAATCAATTATTCAATAGACAGTCACACACCAGGACGGGCCTGAGGTGCTTTAGAATGAGCTTATTCAACTCCAAGGACACCAATTATCTCTGGGGCGCCATGCAGGCACAGCCCGGCCTCTGCACGACAGATGCAGGCTTACCGTGGGTTGAGTTCAGTGTGTTCATGTTCCTGTGCACTGTGTGTCTTCTTTCTTTTCTTGGGATACACAGAGGTGGTAGAAGAAGTACTCTTAGCTTGTACTTAAGTAGAAGTAGCTACCAGGGTGTAGGAATACTGTTACAAGTAAAAGTCCTGTATTCAAAATGTTACTTAAAGGTGGGGGTAGGTAAGTTTGAGAAACCGGCTCGAGATACACTTTTTGTTATATTCCATGGAATGCTCTTAACATCCCGATAGCAATGAATATCTTAAGTGCTTTGACAAAAAATCCATAAAAAAATGTCATCTGTGGAAGCCGTAATACTGTAAAAAGTACGACCAATCATCTGAGCCGGCCCGGCTAAAATAACTGGATGGCCTACCTGCCTGTCAGCCTTCCATCTGTGCACAAACTTATCTTGTGCCCTCATTGGTCATGTGCGCGTTCGTGTGTGTTGGAGGAGGGGCTCTGTAAGGAAGTGGCAGATTTTCTCCGGTTGTGTATTTTCAAATTCTAGCGATCTCGAGCTGGTTTCTCCATTCTTGCCTACCCTACCTTTAAAGTATTAGCATCAAAATATACTTAAAGTACCAAAAGTACTCCTTATGCAGATTGGCCCATTTCTGAATAATATATGTTATGTTTTGATTCTAATTATTGATGCACTAGAATAGAGTGTTAACAAAGCCTGTACAGGTGCAGGGTAAGAGTACACATATAGTACAAAATACCATACAGGACACTAAAGTGCAGTGTGTCATGCGGTTAGTGTATGATATTTATTGAAATATAACAAAACAAATGCTAAAAAGCAATTATGTGTTCATCTTTTGTGTAGTGTATGAATATTACCTTCTTAGATATATTTGTGATTTAAAAACAGTATTATTATAAAGACAGTGTTGGAAGAAGATCTTTTACTTCCTCTGTTACAAATAAAAGGGGACAGACACCCTCTACATTTTAAAGAGTAGGCTTAAGACTTTCCTTTTGGATACAGCTTATAGTTAGGGCTGGCTCAATCAGCCCCTAGTTTTGCTGCTATAGGCTTATGGCGCATTTCCACTACAGCGCGGAGCGCGGTTTAAGCGTGCCGTGCCGTGCCGTGCCGTGCTGTGCCCGGCCCGTTTTTGGTTGCGTTTCCACTAGCAGATACTTTTTCACAGTTTTTCTGGCTCTCCAAAATTGAGGTTCTTTCCGGGCCAACAACCGGGCTGAGTATGCTAAACTAGTGAGAGAATCGCTGGCAACTACAACAAAATGAACATATTTTACCGTGATTTAATTGTAATACACGTTTAAAAATGATGCCGAAGTAACAACATACTGATACCGGTTAGTAAAAACCATGAATTAATGCTTTGACAAGTCTGCAGACAGACGGCAGACGAAAAACCTTTTATAATGCGTGTTTTCTAAATGGAGATCGGCTAAGCTAACGTTGTATATGCTCCGACCGTCCACACTCACAACAACGGCCTATACAGACATAAATAAACCAGCGACTGTATTCGCCATGACACAGACGGTCTGTGGTTTGTACTTGTTTAACTTTTGTCTAGTTTCTGAACAGATATGAGGAGCTGTGAGCTCTGAGTGCTAACAGCTAACGCGGCTGATGTTGGTTTTGTGTTTCGCATTGAAGATGACGTCACGGCTCCGCCTACACTGCGTTACTATAGTTACTGCCCCAGCTACTAAACTGTAATGGAAACGCAGCATAAAGTGAGCCTGGCCTAACAAGGCCTAGCCATACCGTACTAAGCCGAGCGAGGCCCTGCAGTGGAAAAGCGCCATTAGACTGTCTGGGGACACCTTACTTCTCTCTTTCTGTACCTGTATACTCTCATGTCCCAAATCTGTATGCTACTAACCCAGCTTCCACTGAGTGTTTGGAGTCTGTCACTTGGCCTTTAATGGCATTCTTTAAATGTGGGTATAGCATGCTACTCTGCAAACATAAGTAGTTTCAGATCATTTCAATGTGTACTGTCACCATTAACATTGTATATGAAATAAGATCTCAATTCATTCATTATTATATTCCACTTACATTAGTTTATTGATTATATTTCAGTTTTAGCAACCAAAATGTTTGTGAATGAGCTCCACTCCTTGTTACCTGCTGGTGTCCAAACTGCAAACCAGGAAGTGAGAGCATCCAATGGGCTTTAAACATGGAGGCTTTAAAGTGTAGGGGAGTTAGACCGTACCAATTTGATAAGAGTGGAGGGGTGGCGGTTTCATTGTTGTGGGGAATAGTCTTTTCAAATAACTTAAACAAACCTAAAATATTTCAGTTTCACTACCATAATAAAAAGGAGTTTGATAACGTTTGTGTAAAGGTGCAGAAATGCAGAAAATAAGTAAGGTCCCCTATTGTACTGTTTTTCATCAATATATTATAGGTCACAGATATATACAGAACATGTCTCTGATTGGCTCCAAACACCAAACAGATCATTGCAGCATCCCATAATCCCCTCTGTTTCAGCCCTGTTTCAAAAGTGCTGATTCTCTGTCTGTTACTTTAGATGAAAATAAGGAGCCACTCCCCACGCCCCTCTGAGAGATATTTGGTTAAAAAGAACACAATGGTGCTCTAGGTGGAGATTCAGGTGATAAGGTGGGGGGGGGGTTAGCTTGGTTGGTGATTGGCTAATGGTTACTCAAGCCAAAACATCGTTCGGACATCATAAAGTGGCCAAAATCTGATCAGCTCATTTTCAGACAGGTTTTTATTTAAATGGATCAGGACAAAAAGAGAGAGAATCTTTGTTCCTGAACCTTTCAGAATCTCTTTTCACAGAGGGGACACATGTTGATGCAGAAGAGACATGAAGAAGAGGGGACACATGTTGATGTAGAAGAGACATGAAGAAGAGGGGACACATGTTGATGTAGAAGAGACATGAAGAAGAGGGGACACATGTTGATGTAGAAGAGACATGAAGAAGAGGGGACACATGTTGATGTAGAAGAGACATGAAGAAGAGGGGACACATGTTGATGTAGAAGAGACATGAAGAAGAGGTGACCTTTAATGAATTATGGAATAACTTTCGTTCATCTGAGGAGTTAGCTTAAAAGTAAGAGGAAGCTGCTTCTCATGAGGAGTCTGGCTGTCTTTGTATTCCTGTATTGACAAATAACATCAATTTGTCCAAAACAGTGAATATCCTCACTCAACTTATCTTCATAACAACCTTTTAGTTTGTTAGCTTTTTCTTCCTATTTTCGGGCTGATATCCCACCCTTGTATAGAGACCGGTGTGGAAAGATTGGATTTGCCAAGCTAAATCCTTAGCAGCAGCCAAGATAAAAAGTGACGCACTTATTAAAAGACCCCCCACAGACTTCCAGGGCCATGTATTATCAGTAGAATAATAAAGAAATAGCATTCAATCTAAATAGGACCTCACTAGTGGGTCCTAGAGCTGCTGTAAATCACTATATCGAGGATTTAGGAATCAAAACACCACAAACTATCCTAAGGTCATTATTTAAAGTAAATCTTTATCCCCACAGACACTTCATTAGTCCCTGCGGATAGATTATTGGAACATTATAGAGAGAATAAGGGGGGGGGGGGGGTAGTTTCAAGGCCAGTCCATAAACAACCCTGCATCCTGCTTTGCAAATAGATCACCCGCGCCTAAAATCCTCCTCATTAGAAGCAGTGGAATAAACAACTGTTCTAACATGGCCCCTGGTTCAGGTCACACTAATTAACCAGCACCATCGAGCGACAATTCCCTCATTATCCGTCCTCTCATCTGATCGCATATGGGCCGTCAAGACAGCTAACGATCAACCGACTAATTAATCAGCTGATGAGGTGCAAGTGAAGCTCCGGGTTCCCTCTTCATTTGCCAGACGCATGGGAGCTAATTAGTTCAATTATTAATGCATCTAATTAAATAGTTTGTCTGGGTGAGCATGGTGCAAGTCTGCGGTGATAAATGGGTTCTTCTCCTGCATTACACCCCTCTTGTCCTTCATTTTGCCGTGCTTTAAACTGCAGAGCAATGCTAAACATTACAGCTCTTCACAGGCCCGGACCCCATTAGGCTAATTGCGATGAAAGCAGTCTGTGGCTGACATTAAAGGTGAGCTGTGGTTTGGGCTCTAATTAGCAGTCTGTGAGAATGGGAAGCCTTTTTCTTTTCTTTTTTTATCTGGAGCCATCTGCTGCGGTTCGCCTCGCCGTCATGTCCTCTGTGTGAAAAGGGCAGAGACAAATTTAGGTGGTGTTTTGTGTGGAAGGGCAGATATAATACCACGAGAAGCCATTTCATACAGATGCATTTAGATGAGTGGATACAAGAAAACCAGCTGCAGTTTGTAGGCTTTAAGGTTTTGCATCTGAAACCACAGAGCTCCTGCTTATTTGTTCCATCTTTAACTCATTCAGTGTCTCTTTTAAACATTTAAACCAGAGTTGGTGATTGTTGGAACAGTGGAAACACGAACAAAGACATTTTAAAATTAGTTATTTAGATTGATTCAAGTTTAACAATAATATCAAATAACTGTTGTCTGACTGGAGTCTGGTGACTTTAAGGGGGACATATTCATTGTATGTTTTTTTACAATAATGATTTAAATTAACTGGCCATACATTATCCACATTAAAACGTGTCATAGCTAAGCGTTGAAAAAGGGCCGAACATGACCGCCATGGTGTCATGTTTCCTACTGCAGAGTCATTTGTCCCGGGAATGAATGCCTATTGTAACCTTTCCCACCAAAAGACAAAAAACAGATGTCAGTAGGCTTTTTTTTTGTCCACTGGGGCTATGGTGAACATTTTACCTGTTTAACATCAGTGTGTTAGGTCAAAGTGCAGAGCTATGGCTGCAGGAGTTTTGTTCTCCAACAATTGAGGAAACTCAATCATCTGCTGGGAACAATGTGATATGGCCAAAAGCTCAAGAACAAGTGAGTAAGAAGACCCTGGGATGAGAAGGGTCAATAATTAAGTGGCAAGCTCAAATTCTGTCAGTTAATTGACAGGAAGCAAATGTCACTTAAAGGGCCCCTAATACGCTTTGTGGGCTTTTCCCTTTCCTGTAGTGTGTTATATAGGTTTTTAATGCATGTAAATGGTCTGCAAAAGCTAAAATCCCTGTGTTTCCACAAGAGGGAGTTTCTCTCCCACACACTCCCTGCCTGAAACGCCTACAGTGGACAGTGGATCCTCCATATTTCTGACGACCGATACTTTGGCCTCCTAATGACATCATTATGTAACACTCGTGTTTCTATTGGCTAACGCTCCAACACATTGTACGTGAAAGGCTAAGGGGCGGGACATCTCTAAGCAGTTGACCAATCACAATAGAGCCGGCCAGCCAACCAATCAGAGCAGACTGGGCTGGGAATACATCCTTTTAAAAGGAGATAAACAAGGCCTCGTAGCATCCGAAGGAGAAGGAGCGAACACAGAGGATGAAACTGTTTTTATTTAGTTCTACCAGCGAGGTTTGTCTGAGTGAGATAAATCGGGACATGAACTCCCAAGAGGTCGGTCCACCGGGGAGAAGATCATTTGTTCTCAGCCTGGGAAAATCGGGTGTGGAAAGCAAAGTGTTGACATGCTGGTGTGGTGCCTTTAAGCAATAATGTTTTCTGCTGAACCGGAGCAGCTTCTTTGTGGTTGTAATGAGCATTTGGGAAGGTGAGAATGATGTGTATTGTGTCATCAGACAACTAAAGGAGGGTTCTTTAATTACAGAGTTGCTCCTGACTAGACACAAACTCTAGTCATTAAAGGTGTGATTATTTCTGTTATTTCTTTCATATCTGTATGTAGGTTTTTCCCAAAAACCTGACCAAAACCTGCCTGGACTACCTGTTGATTTAAATGTATTGAACAAAATAACTTGTGAATAACATGTTTGCATTTCTTTTTTAACTCCGTAACTCTTTCCACAGCAGGGAAATGAACTGTGTTACAAAACAATACCTTTGGGACCGTTCGGGCTAATCGATTAGTGGGCTAACATATTAAATAGAAGGCGCCATCACACATGTGTTCAAGCATTATGATGGCAAACTACAAAAAACAACACTTTAATGCTTCCTGAAAATCAAATGTTTCATACACGTTTTTGAAAAAAGTCAAAGTGGTCAAACAATTACAATTACAATCAACTACTGTGTTCCTACTGAAACAAACTATGTTTTATCTTATAATTTCAAAGAAAATATAATTTAAACACTATCCTGCATGTTTTTTTCGAGGTGACGTCTTTTTTTCTTCCATATACAGTGTGTCACGCTGCATGAGTGCACACAGTGATTGCTTGCCGGATGAAATATGCTGCATCTGAAGAGTTTGTTTCTACTCCCTGAAAAATTAGATGCATCCTGTGTTAAAAGAAGAAAACAAACTCAATTCAAACTTCAGTTTAGTGAGTGTCATGAGCAAGTTCTTCGCTAAGTAACATCTGGATCATCTGGTTTATGTTGACATTGATTGAATGTAAAGCACCTTTTCTTAAAGGAATCATAAGTAATCTCTTTCATATGTTTTATGAATTTGTTGGGGTCTACTTAGAGCCATTCAGTGTCCTGTTACGCTAAATGTGATGTCCTGCTGTCTGTGCACTGAATACTGCTTTGTAAGATGTCGGTATCTTCTTGCAGTGACGCTGCCAAAACTCTGCAAATGAAGTGAATCTGATGGAGAGCTCGATGTCCCAGCGATGCCCTCTAAAGCTCTTAGTGATGCTGAATCAGAGCAGCCCTTTAAAATTCATGTGAATGCATCAGTTTAAGGGTCTTTGGTTTGTTAAAGGGTCCATATTATGCTATTTGGGGGGTTTCCCTTTCCTGTAGTGAGATATATAGGTTTTTGTGCATGTAAAGTCCCTTACACACCAAGCCGATTTCGGCCGTCGATAGATGTCGATAGATGTCGGGCCGTCGATGAGCGTTGTGTTGCCCTACTCAGATTGGTGTGTCCCGCACCGTCGTGTCTTTTCGGCCGTGCCGACACCTTCCGCCGCCGATTCGACATGTTGAATCAGGAGGCTGTCGGCTAAAGGCCGTCGGCCAAAGAAGTCACTCTGATTGGCTGTTCAGCTAGCGAATCAGTGCATGAGAAGCGAAATGGAAGTGA